ACAGGATCAAAGACCGTATATCAATAACGTCTCGTTATAAGCTATGAGCTACTTTCATGATGAATAAATGTATCTCGACATAGAGCATATAAAACAATCTTCCTATGATTAGCAAACGGCAACTACCATGGTGTTTCACATTTTTATTCAGCAGAGGTTGTGCCAACACTTTGTTCTTTACAACCATTGACGTCTTTCTCATTAGGATTCATCTATAAAATGATACATTTAATTAAAGTCAAATCTAGTTATGACAATTTTTAATATAGTTTAATATCGAATAAAAGATATTAACCTTGTTATCAAGTTTAAGTATTGATTAACTTAACTTTGATTTAATTTAGGTATTACAATGAATGATATTCTGCATATCTCATCATATACATACATATACCATTCTAAATACGTTAAATATAAAACTTCTTTGATTTGTTTACTAGCTGAACTTATTTAAAATAAAATTCTATAATAGCTATACAATACAATGGACAATAAAACACATAATATTCTAAAGGCAAAAAAAAAGGGGGAAAATAAATGAGTAAAAAACTTGAGTTAGATTAATTTATTCATCTTCTTTTCCACGTTTTATTTGTTTTGTAAATGCTGCATAATCAAGTTGACCTTTGGCATCAATTGGTGCACCTTCAAGCATTTGAGTGAACTATTAAACATGTAAAATAAAAAATATAACCTTATATATATATCTATATTTATATCTATTACCTCGATATCGGTTAGTCTTTCATTAGGATGACCTTCAGCAGTTAATAACTCACGTAGGCTAAAAAGAAATAAACTTCTTATTCAAAAGAAAAAAAAAAAAAACAAGTAAAAATTTATGCACTTGTCACGATTAAGAAAACCTTTTCCTTCTTCATCAAATGTCTTAAAACCATGCATTAAAATATCTTCTGCATCTGTACCTAAAAATACAAAAAGAAAACATCGTTCAAAATCATATTGACCTTGTTTATTTTTATAATAAATATTTCTAACCATGAAGTCGATCACCAAATAATTGTAATAATTTAGTAAAATTAACAGGTCCACCAGTTTCTTCAAGCATTTGTTTAAGATCAGCTTCTTTTGGTGATTTACCCAATGATGAATAAACTTCTTTCAGATCATCTAATGATATTGATCCATCTCGATCTTGATCCATTAAACCAAAAGCTTCTTTAAATTCTTGCACTTGTTTTTGATCAAACATAGTAAAGACATTACTTGTAGCTCGTTGAGCTGCTTTTTTAGCTTTTTTCTAAATAAATAATAAAAGAAAAATTTATTAAATAACGAAAGAAAAAAATATATATATCAGCAAAAACTTACATCAGCCATTAAGTATAATTATTCTTCTATATGTTGATGTCGAGTGTTATTTTCCTACTATATGGTGACTATTCGATGTAGAAGATGGAATAAGAACAAAGAGAAAACCTTGTGATCTTTTCTCACGATGGAAAAGATCACTATATTATCGTAGGCGCATATGTCGATTTTTTTTTGTGGTATGAAGATGATATCGATAGAAGAGAAAAAGGTGACTGACGAACTGATTGATGCGCTAGTTATTGTGATTACATGTATCCTGTGGAGAAACCATCTTTTTTCTTTCTATATCAACATAACATCTGCCAATGAAAAAACATCCAGAAAGACAAGTGAATGAGAATAGTGCATAAATATAATCAATAGAATTTATTCTCACAACTGAAGACTATACGTTTGAAATGTTAGATACGATTCTTTTTTAAAAAAAAAGGAGTTTATCTTCAATACTGAAGAAAAATTTATTACAACAATAAGGAAACTAACGAGAGAATCTTTTCAATTGATCAATCGTTTGGTTTTTTTTTCTAATCAAAATTACTAGATAATAGATTGTCGACCTTGTTGATTCTGAATGTAAGCATGAGAAATTCTTTTAAATCTTTGTATTGTAGAGAAAAAGTTTTTTTTTTTTTTTTTTCTAGAGAAAAATACAGCCGTATTAATGTGTCCAACAAATATCAACATGATGTTATTTTATTTAAAGCTTATTTTATCAAAAAAAAGATTTTAGTCAAATTCTTTTTTCTAAAACACTAGCACATAAAAGTTTTAGAGGATTTCTCATGCTCATACTCGGAGTCGGAAAAGTCGATAACCAAGTATTGAGCCATTTTTTGATGAGAAATGGATTGATCAATTGAAGTCATTTCCTCGTAAGAAAAACAATATATATATATATATTGAAAGGACAATCTAGATATTATCAATGCATAGCGAAAGAAAAATAATGTGAAGAAATGCATAAAAGTTTCTTTTCTTTTTATAATGATAAGCAGAAATAAACATATGTGCTATGTTATTAACTGAAATTCAACCATTTTTATCGTTGAAATATACCAATTCAAGAGTTAAAACAGAAGTTTTCGTTTTTTTTTGTACTTTTCTCATTCTTGTTGTTGATGAAATATAATTTATAAGTGAATCAAACGGGATATTCATCTTCAAAAAAGAAAAGGGAATTATCTAAGAATAATTTATTTGTGAATGAATATAAAATATCAATATCAAGTTCAATTATTTTTTGTCGAACTTTTAGATCATCAAGTAATGAATCAATTAAAACTAGAAGTTTTTCTGTTTTATGTACTGCATTAGATATGTATTCTACTATGAATCTATCTGTAACGGATAAAAATTTATTGAATGTTCTTATACTTAAACCAATCAAAAAACACTAAAATATGCTGGTATTTTGGCGAATTTTTTGTTGTTCTTTTCGTATACATACTTCAAGTATGCTAATAGTAACAGTATAAAATGATTTTGCATCTATTATTGCCGAAGCTACAATCAAGAGACCTTCAAAGTATAGTCTCGTGGTATTTGGAACGTATAAAGAAAGGAAATTTAAGAATGTATTGATCAATGAGATGACAGTTATCAATTTTGCGCGTTTGATAGTTGCATAAACAAAGACTAAATTTGCGATAGTTACAATATCAGAGACAGTTTTATTTTTTCATATAATCCTTCTTATTTTGTTTGGTGTTTCTAGATTTTTATCATTGAGGCAGTAGGATGTGAATGTAGATGAATACTCGATTCAGTCTGATAACGACATTCACATTCTCTTTTCTAATTGATTTGTTGCTATTCAATCTTTATTTATTTATTTTATTCCATTTTTTTAATCTACTATCATTATTATTATTCTAACCGAGAATTTAACTGATAAATATGTTTTGTTTAAAACTTTAATCATGTCCATACGAGATGTCAAAGCGCTGTTATATGTATCTTGATAAACTCAGAAGTATCAGTATTGATTATTACTTGAAAGTTAAAACTTGATCAGTGCTTGCTTTTGATTTTGGATATATGACAACTGTGACAAATCAACTAATAAGTGATATAGCCATGAAATGTGAGCCTTCCGACCGAAACTTTCAGTTTCCACCGAACAAAATCCCTAGAGCTATATTTCACTAAGAACCTTCCATCGTGAAAATCCTATTTTCGATAATATAGTCAATCATGAGCCATCATGCTTGGTTTCTGTCATGTAATCACTTATCTAAGCAACAACCAAGGAACTGAACAGTGGAGAATATTGAGAAACGTATTTCAATCATTTAAATTTCAAACTAGGCTTCAATATGTTCTGGAACACGCTAAACTTGACTTCCAGTATCACTTTTAAAAACTCTTTCGATTGCTAAGGGACTATGGTAAAGAATCTGTAGCTTTATCTTCTCAGCTGTTTACGACAATTCGAAACCATTAATATTTAATCTTAGATCCTAGCTACTAAGGTTGTAGAGAGAGAGAAGAAAACGAAAACCCTAAATTGAAAAGCTATATTCAAAATCAGAAGTGGTAGAGCTTTTCTTGTCGGTACCAGTACCGTTAAAAACGCTCAGATGAGATCAGATTGTTGATATACTAGCATGAGTCATCCTTTGTTTTTTTGAACTTACAACAGTAATATCTGCATCCTGTTACTACAGTACTGATCTAGAAGGTGTGGATGAAACAAAGACACACCTACCGACAATCACATCCTGTGATGAGTTTCTGAAATTATAAAGATCGAAAAATTGATTATTTGTATGTGATTTTTAAAACGTTTATAAAAATGTTTAGAAATTGTTCAATGACCAATCGTTGGAAAAAAGAGAAGCATATTAATATCATTTGATCAATGTAAATTAGAAACATCGTCAACTAATCCAAGTCATCTTTCTTTTCTTGAATTGCTTAACCATAATCTTCGAGAAAACTATCTAGATCTTTGAAGAAGCACTGACTTTAGATTTTCACACTGAATAATACAGTAATTATTATGAAAGATGTTATTTCTTTTTTTCGTAGGGTGAAATGTTTTTCAAATTGATTTACATACCCACTCGCCCTTAACAATGGAGAAACTGATCATAAGTTTATCTGAGGGTTGGCCATGTCACAATATTACCTTGTTGTTTATGCTCGTTTGTCGATATGCGACTTTAACTACTTTAGTAAAGTATTGTTAAGGTTAAAGTGTCATATCGAGACACTGCATGAAAGTGCATCCTATGTTAGTAGCTAATGTAGATTTTTCTCCACTATATGTTCCAAAGTGCAGTGCATATAATCAATTTATTGTTATGGGCACAAAATACTCTTATCATGAAGCAATAACCATTAAAAAAACAGATATTATGGGAAAAAATTAAATTTAATCATTAAACATAGATAAATCGTGTCGTTAAAGTGTCAAAACTTAAATTTCAAGCAATTTTACATTCTTAACAAACAATGTCATAATCGTTAAAACACAAGTGTATGACGACGATAATATTTTACAATAAATCTAATCAACTCGAAGCAATAAATCATGATTTTATAATAACAAGATCTAAATACAACACTTCAGCTACAATAAACATGTCAAATCTTCAATTTGGTATAAAACATTGTCGACAATGAAGAACATGTTACATTTTGGGAATTAACATTCGAACATCATGCTCACCTTTCTTCTTCTTCTGTCTTTAACTGCTGTCTGCCTACAAGGAAATATTATTCCTGATCAAAGCGTTCGATCAGCAGCAGTAACAAAAAAAATAACTGCATGTCAAAGTTGGTATAATGCTGAACCACATCCATCAATATTTTTGGAACAAACACGAAAATGTCCATGTCGTGTACCACCAAACTTTCCAAGCGATTTTAATGACGGTTCGAAATCATGGAAAACAGATTCAGGTTGTGCAGCAAGTAGTCAACCAAATACATGCAGTTATCACAAAGGTGCATATGGATGTTATCGCTTTGGATATAAAAGTACGGGACCTGGTGCTCAATGTTGTTATGACAAAGCAGGTAATTGGATGAATGATCCACATAAAGGTGCTGGTACATTGGATCGTGAACGAGCACCTGATAATTTTTTCAATTTATTGCAATGGAATGCACACAACAAACATGATGTAATACCATGGGAAAATTGTTGTAAAGATGAAGCCGTACCAAGAGATATTTGTCAACTCTACTATGAAAAACGACCACCAGGTGAATGTGAAGATTATAAATTTTGAACGTATAAAACTCAATTTTTGAATAAATTGTATGAACAATATTAAAATTGAGAGAAATAAAGAACACAATTGATACAAAAGCGTGAAAATATTAAAAAGATCCATTGCTAGTATATTTATTTTAAGTGGGCTTTGAAAGATTTTTTTCATTCTAACTAATTAGAAAAATGAAAGAAACTCGAGAGTGATTACAAAAAATCTGGCCTCCATTGGACTAAAATCGAGATATGTATCTATTTTATTTTCTTTCTTCTTCTATTGCATGTTAAAGAAGAGGCTTAGCTGTAATAGCACCCATCAAAGTAATACTGAAGAGGTTTTCAGAAATTATGTTCATATAGAAATATATTATTGCTCTTTAAATTTTATATTCTTGCAACAGTTATATTCATGATGTCCACTATTACACATGATTTTTATGACTGGTCTTTATGTATTTTAGTAGAAAGATATTTATGATTCATCGCTTAAAATATTCTTTGTTCACGACGGTGCGACAAGCAAATTCATCAATAGTTGACAGCTTTTATGTTTGAGAACAAGAGAAGTTTTTGATAGAATGAACAAAATCGAGCGAATTCTTCGCTAGAATCTGTGTATCGTATGAATACGAAAATGCTATTTCAGTGTTGAAGTCCGTTGAAAAATCTAATGAGAGAAGCTGCATTAGTGGCCAACCACAGAACATCTTGAAGTGTCCTCCTGAGATTTAGCTGCCATGGGTTAACTCGTTATTGAGCTATAATAGTTTTATTTTACTTTGATCAAAAAATGACCGATTTTTTGCAGATACGTTATTTGCATCCTTTTACATATGCTGTTTTGAGGATGAATGCTTAGAAAATGATGAGTCTAGAAACCATCATTGCTTGCATCCAGGCAACTAGTCAGACCCAAAATGAGTTTGTATAGTTTGTTGTGAAAGTTTTCAACAAAATGAAAAGAACGTTCAATATATTCTTACAAAATCCAATACCTAAAAATGTGACATGTTATTTATTTGATTGAAAAAAAAATAAAATTCAACTAATCCAGATGCATATATCTACTTTACACATTCCATGAGTTGAATAATCATATTCTATCTCATGCATGATGTTTAACTTTAATAGTTCATGTTTAAATTGATCAATAAAATGTTCATCGATTTGTGATACGACTACACATAAAAATGATAATTTTGATAAATTATTTAATATAAATAACAAACTATCCAATTGGCAAATATTACATTTTAATTGTTCAAGATTTGAAAATACTTGACATAACTTTGCAATTATATGAAATTCATTCAATTTATCATCATATTCTTTGTATACGTCTAATTTATTAATCATTTTATTTAAATGTCTACATAATTCATCATTGTTGAATAATATTGATAACGCAAATAGATCAATTGTTAATGATGAAAGTTGTAGTGATTGTTTTAATATTTCTAACAATACTGGTGATACATCTATATTACATTTAGATGAAATATTTAAATGTTTTAAATTAATTAAATTGACAATTGTTTTCAAAAATTGAACATGTTCTACACATAGAAAATAATTATTATTATATTCTAAAGTATCAGTTACATTTTCTAGTGTTAATGATTCAACATTTGAAAAGTAAAATTCACATTTGTCTCTTATTATTTTTTCATACAATATTAAATTTGTTACATTATTGAATATATTTAAATTATTTATCGATTTTTTACAATATCTATTTGTATATGGTGTTAACATATATGTATCGGATATGTAAGGTATTGTATAAACATATGCTAAATTTTTATCTAATACATATTCAGTATTCCAAAAATGTTGATCTTGCCAAAAATTACTTTGAAATTGTTCGAATTTATCAATAATAGTATTATTATTATCATCATCATCATCATCTTTACGTGAATAGATAAATTTAAACTTAAAACTAATGAGATAAGATAATGAAGTAATAATTAAAGTTTGCCAATTATATGCATCAATCATGGTTTTATCGTTGGAACATATTGTTAAATATTTTATATTTGGTGTTTGTTCTACAAATATCTTAAAATCTTGAAATTCATGTTGAAAATTATTTATAATTATTTTTTGTAGATTAATTGCACAACGACGATTAGAAATTGTATTATTCTTTGAGATATATCCTTCGAAGTATGTCCATACATTATGAATATTAAGATATTTTAACATAGGTATATAAGAAAATAATTCATATAATTCATTTAAACTACATTTTGAAATTGTTAAATTTATAATTGAATATGTTTTAAGAATATGATTGAAATGATGAGTAAATTTGGATACTGCTAATAATTGAAGTTTACCTGATGGTAAAATACTTGATAAATTATAATTGTAATCAATTAAACAAAAAGAATCTAGTTTAGATATTAGTGGTAATATTGATTGTAATTTTTCTAAATTAGTAATTTTAATTCGATTCAATACTAATGATTGAAGATTAGAAAATTCAGTCAGTGAAAATAATGATAGAAATCCATCAATTTGACCATAGGTATTTATATTTGATAATTTTAATGAAATAATTTGATTTTTTATTTCTGAATTTAATAATATTTTTTTACAAAATTGATCAAATATTCTCTTTCGAACATTTTCAAAACTAAGATATAATGGAATAATTCGAATAAGTTTGTTAAAACGAGAATTTAATTGATCAAATGAATGAAAAATATCTATTGCATTAAGATATCCAAAACATTTAATTAATATTTCATTTGGTAATAATTCAAATGTCATGATATTTGTCAGATCACTCATGATTAAAACTACAATATTTTCAGTTATGTGTAAGATAGAAGTAAATAAAAAATGTTTTTTTTTGTTTCTTATGAATTATACTACAAAAAAAAGAACAACGTGATACCATAGAAATTGTGCAATTACTTTTTTTTCTCCTCTTCGTTGTTTACTCTTTCTTTCTGTACTTTGTAAAAAAATGCAGATATTGTTTTGTCATCGAAATAATAACATTAATAAAATTAAAAAAAACCCTCACTGTATCAAAGACAATCAAGGGTATGTAATCTATAAACATATCTTTATTATTGGTTAAAAAAAATTAGCCCGTTTGATCGCATCTAGATGCGTTCATTAACAGTGTGGAGTTGAATGAATCGAAAATCAACATTCACACCTTGTATTGTCTAATTGCTGGAAAGAAATAATAAAAAGTGGGTGCAAAACTTAGGTAGACCTAACATTTGAAATGAGAATCGAATGAATTGACTTTTGATCGTTTTTTTTTGTTCTTAAACAAGTGTAAAAAATGCAAATAAACTTGTTTATCTATCAAATAATTGAGAAGCCAAGTGAAGAAGACAATAAGATAATACTTCCTTACAGTGACAACATTTCTTTCAAAAAACGTTTCTTTTTTATTATTTTGAAGTCTATCATTTTTCGCGTGGCCTTTTTTAAGTGAAATAATATTCAAAAATTATAAATCGCTCTACTCTCTTTCATTGTTTTTTCGGACAAAATCATCATAGGTTGGTGATGGTGGTAGTTAAATGTTGCTGTTCTATCGTAATTGTTGTTGAGTTTTTATTTTATCAAATCATCGTATGCTGGTGGCGATTGTGAAATTCATTATTCAATTACAGTTGTTGTCTTCTGGTGGTAGCTGTTCTGTCGAAAATATTGAATTTTTTAGTGTGTCTCTGAGTAAATGTAAATTAGAAGTATTTGTATTTTGCACTCTCATCACTGAAAATACACTGGTAAAGAAACTGGTTGGATTGATCTTTATCTTAGTTGTACGATCATCAGATTGAACAGCTCGTGTACCAATTTTAAACACACAATGAAAGAAGAATACTCACACAAGGAATAATAGAGAGAACTCTTCAAAGTCTGCTGAATCCTTTGTTGATCTACAACTGAAATAAACCGATTGTGTTTTAAAGCATCCTGAAGAAGAATTACTAGATAATTGAGATTGATTTTGCTCTAACTGTTGTTTTTTTCCCATTTCATTTATATCAATAATATTGTGATGTTCGTACGATATAGGTGTCATGTATTTTTTTCTTAGACGGTGTTTCCATTTTAGTTGTAGAATAATATTGTTCATAGAGTGCGTGCGAATACAACATGAGTGGTCTCACTTTAGTAGGAAAAGAAGAAGTAAGTAGGAATTTTGGTCGATTCGTTGTCGTTAATAATTTTCGAATTGAACAAATAATAATTGACGAGAATGACGATAAAGTTTGAATAAAGTTTCATTTTCAATGATTCGTATGAGTACGATATCGAATGTAAATCATGTAATATAATTGAAAAATGCTGTTAAAAAACATCTATACACCAATCTAAATTCAGAAGACATTATTATAGTTGGGCTTTTGTTTTCATTATTTGTTTACCGAACAAAATGATTTGAATAGCACCAAACATTAAGTTATGGCAATATAACTAAAAGTAAAACAGAAAGACTTATATTTCTGTGTTGATACTACAAGTGAGAAAATATTGTCTTCTTCTTACATCTACTCTATTTTCTTGTTTATGCATAAAACCACTCGGTGTTGATGTAACAGAATCTGTGTTCACACCATTTGACATACTACAGTAGTTAGACTTACAAGAATGCTCATAGATACACATACTTTGAACTTGAT